TGATTTTTTTGAAGTAGACTGCCAGGCCTTTTATTAGTCTTTCTTAGTTGGGAGCCCCACTGTAACGTGTCTGCCACAGTGGGTGCCCCTGCCGATAGATGGAATACTGGTGGCATCGCTTCTCCTCTCACAGCAGTGCACAAACCAGCACAGGATGACAGACTGGCGGGCAGGAGGGTTAGGGTGCTGGTTGCTCAAAAAAGAGGTTGAAACACGTCAGACAGTTCTTTGTCAAAGGCACTGTACACACACGTTGCTGTGAGGAAGACTACATACAGCTTGCTGCCCCTGCCCAGAAACAGTAAAAATATATGAAAAAATAAATGATTCCTAATGACTGAAGAGTCAGATTAGCACTTGAATGTGAGCTGACTTGAAAGGATGGACAAGGGTGAGATGGGGAAACAAGAGGGACTTACTGTAGGGAGACTGGAGACTTTATTATATATCGTCAGGTCTTCGGAAGTAGAAGGGGTATTAGATGAAATCCAAGGGACAGATTGCGTTTTCTCATTGGTTCTGTTTTCTCATGGATTCAGTTTCTCAGGTTCACCTTCTTTAAGCAGTGATAACAAAGCACCGTGCCTTCTTTGACCTCTACGAGTCCTGGGTGGCATAATTGGTTACGTGGGGCTGCTAACTGGAAGGTGCTCTTCTGAAACACACGGGTTTGCGTGAGTCCAAAGGTGGAGCTCTTGTTTGGTTCTGTTTGCTCTAACCCTTAGGCATAGTGGGGCCAGGGGAGGAATACGCAAAAACAGCTTGGAGTCCATGAAGAAAGAAAGACCAACACATTAAAAGCGACATGGTTATAGTATTGATAGAGCATACTTGCCTGATTTTTGACGTGAAACGTAAGTGCTGAAAGATACATGATTAAAAATTGGTAAAACAAGTTTATTTCTAAAAGTCTTCTAGTTACAGTTCTTGATCCTCTTTTTAAAGCTAAGGTATTTGACAAGCCTCATGCCGGTGATTTACAGTCCATGGATGTGAATAGCTTTGCTCTCAGACAAAGAGCATTGTAAAGTCGATTATGGCAGATGTACTTAGATGAAAATGTAATACCTAATCATGTAATCTCCCTTTTTACCCATTTTAAAGTTGTTTCAGTGTTTTATATTTTCTGTTTTCTTTTCAATTGAGATTTTTCTGTTTTGTTTAGCCATTTTTGTTGGGTTGTGTTTGTTTATCTCTTTCCTGTTTGTGTTTTGTATGATTTTCTGTGTATGGAATCCAGGATAGGTAAATCTATACAGACAGTGAGTAGATTGACAATTGCTTAGGGACATGGCAGGGTTAGTTGGGGGGAAAGAGGGAGCTAACAACAAGTACTAGAAGAAAATGTTCTGAAATTGATTGTGGTGATGATCGCACAACTCTTAATGTGATTGAATGATTCATTTGTATGATGTGTGAAGTATATGCCAATTAAACAATTTTTTCAAAAGAATTTTCCTTCATAGGAATGTAGAAAGGACTGTCTAAATTCATTCAGGAAAGGGAAGCAACATGAAGTTGCTAAGCCCAAAAACCTCATAACACAGTTACTGGAAATATCTACCTAATCTGTATTTCTACCCTCTAAAATCAACTGCTGTCAGTTTGATACTGCAAATGAGATAACTTTTGGACTCCTCACTATTTATGATAGATTCTGTTTTCCCTGAGATAACAGCTAAAAGGAATTATGCAGAAGTGTGGGGGAAGGTCAGTCAGATCCTTGCTGCCAGACTGCTGTTTCATCCCACCACAGGGGTGGGCCTGCTCCCTGCTGCTGGGGACAATGGACAGGCTCCTGTGGGCGGAGTTCATATCCTACTGATATTGGTCTCTATCAGTTGGGCCAGAAACGCCAGAAACAGGCCAAACCGGCTCTGTCCCTCCTCTTCCTATTGCGTGTATGTCCCTAGACCACCCCTTCTCATTGCTGTGTAACCTATAGTGCAGCCCCTCCCTGTGACCTATGTCTCTACCTGTAATTAGTGGGCTGGCATGCCCCCAAAAGGGATAAAGGCATGGGTCAGCGAGAGACTCGCTCCTTGCTGCTCACTCCCTGGTCACTCCCCTCTTCCCCCTCTCCTCTCCAGTCCTCTATCCCTTGTTCCCTTGCCCTCCTGCCCTTTCCCCTCTCTCCACGTGGACCACCAAGCTGGGCTGAGGTGAGCAATGCTACTATGTAATGTGTCTGACTGCATTATTGTAATATCTCTCACGCTCTCGATGACTTTAATATAATACTTATATATTTCAACTGTACAATTGTGCATTACTGAACCCAGAAGTAGTATTACTGAACCAGTGAGTTCTAGTAGCGGGTGGGGCTGGCACCCCACTCCTCCATACCATTTTAATTTTATACTACACAGAAGTTTAAGGAATTTATGTCAGGATCTGGAAGCCTCCATCTCTCTTGAGTTTAAAGACATGACCGACTCCCCTCACAGGATGAAGGTGCATCCTGTGATCTGCAGTGGTGGAAATTTATGTGGGCTCCCCTGTGCCAGACGCACCCTGCTGTATTGTAACTATGGTAAACTAGATTTTATAATTCTGTGTCAGATTTCCTGAAGACATTTAAACCCCAAAACCCCAAGCCACTTGCTATAGAGTTGATCCCAACTCATGTAGCCCTTGTGTGGAAGAACTGTGCGTTCCACGAGACTTGAATGGCTGGGATCTTTCAGAGATAGGGTGCAAAGTTTTTCCTCCACAGCACCTCTGGATGGATTTGAACTGCCAGCCAAGCACTTAAACATTTGCACCACCCAGAGACTCCTTGAAGATTCTTCGGTGTGGCATATTATCATATATAGCATATTCCTATGTTTCCATTTTCTCAGACTAGTTTTCGAGGATGCTTTACATTTATACTTCTTAAGAGATTTAAGAGAGAAGCACATTTGAGGACATCATACAGACCTAAATCTGTTGAAGTTCCTTCCTTTTACAGGGACATCAAGATATAAAGGCATCAGAGTAATGCAGACAGAGCAAGAGCATTCACTCTCTGCCAACCAGTAGTTTTAGTTGGTGGCACATTCTAATTACTTGCATTTTCCCAACAGTTGGATCAGATAGTTCTTGATTTTTATCTACTTTCAGAAAGTATAATTTTAATTTATAAAATAAAGCCACATTTGCATGTTTGCAAAGAAGCTGCAACAAAGGTTTCACTAAGGCATTTTTAAAACATAACATTTTCTTTCTTTAAAAAAATTTTTATTGCTATATAATCTACCTATCATGCAATTTAATAGTTAAATCATATTAAGAAGAGTTAGACAATTATCACCACAATATCCAAATATTGTACTCATCTTTCTTGTACTCGTTGTTAGCTCCCCATTTCCTCCCAACCTTCTCTGCTGTGCTGATAAGTAGTTATTTGTGGGGAACAGAAGGATTTCTCTTAAGTTGTCTCCCCAAAATATGTACCAGACTTAGCTGCTTAAGCGTAACCGTACAATAGGCAGCGAAAGTAGGTCAGAGGTTATTCTCCTTAACATTGGCCATCTGTAGTGGCTAGACTATTAGTCTGACTCACCCTGAATAAGACCCACTCCCTTCTGATAAGGATAATGGTGGTCTATTCACTTGCAGACTTACCAGAGAGGTCAAACCCGCCCAAGGGTGACCAAGGTTAGTCAGCCATTATCAGCTGTCTAGATCAAGCAGACACCACAGTCTATTCCACAACCAATGTGGACACACCCCTAGGTGATTCCTCTCCTATTGATTGTATTGCCTATGTTAATATCCCTCCTGGTGACTCAGGTTATTGTCCACTATCAGGGAACTTGCATGCCTCCCAGAATAGTAATTGTCTGTTTTATTATGTGAGACATTAGAGTGATCAAACTTGTTCTAGAATGAATTGTATAGCCCTTTATGTGATGTATAACTCTATGATGCGTGGTTAGCAATAAATATCGAGGCTCCCTGGTACTCGAGAGGGTGGCTGGCTGGAGAGGGTGGCCAGAAGGTGACTAAGGAGGACAAAGCAGCGGCTTCTTCTCTAACAGCTAAGCCCCCTCCACGAGGACCATCAAGCCGGGCGGAGGTGAGATATGCTACCATGAATTGCGTCTGACTCCATTACTTGACTCTATCCTTTAGCTCTCATGCTCTCTATGACTTTACTATAATCTCTACTTATTATCGCTGTACAATTGCGCCTACCAAACCTGTGATGTTTTGTGGGGTTCCCTCTTACCCTTAACCCCACAGTTATTAATCCAGTGGCTGTCTATATAGATTTACCTATCCTGGATTTCATATTTAGAAAAACATATAAAACAATGAGAAATAAACAAGAAACAATAACAAACCAGAAAAACTTCAATCAAGAAGCAGAAAATATTAAAACTGAAATAACTTTAAAATGGGTTCTAAAGGAGATAAAATAGTAAGGTGTTACATTTTAACCTAAGTACATCTGCCATAATCGCTCTACAGTGCTCTTTGTGTGATAGCAAGGCTATCCACACCCCTGACTGTGAGCAGAGAGGATTCATTGTAGACTCATCCACATGCAGATGGATTGGGGGCGTATATATGTCTCTAGTTCACTTTAGACACATCGTTATCATTTTCATAATAGAAAATATTGTACATCATCCCTGTGGAGCATAAGGGAATTCTATTAGCCAATGGTAAAACACCATTTTCAACGTATTTGCTTGCTTCACACATATGCATCCCTACAAAAGCTTGTGCATATGGATCCTACTATTCTGCCAAATTTTGCCTTCAAACATGTCACTAATAAAAGGGAAGTCTCTTGCTAATTAATTTTTCCTGTATTTACTAATTACAATAATTATTAGTAGAAGATTTAAGTGAGGTTTTTTTCATGTGTTTTGGAATACAACTTTAGGTTTTAAATTTTAGGACTTAAAATTGTAAAAATAGGTTGAAACACAAGCATCTTGTTCGGCATATCATGACTATTTGCCAAAAATATAGCAATTTTTTTTACTCATTATACTAAGACCTTCGAGGGTAGGCATAAGTGGGCCATCCAAACCTTTGATTATTGTTTAATTTTGTCTCAGTCACTTAATATTCTTAATGTAAAATTCACAAAGCCAAATGAGTCAAGAAAATTAAAAAATTTAAGCTTCAAATGGTATCTTTTGTAACTCTCTAGCAAGTATACTTTTTGATGTTATTAGTGCTAAAACTGCCCTAAGGCTTTTGCACACTCTATGCTTAAGAAAGGATAAAGCCACTTGCTCTATGAAATGCTTTCTAATACTTGATTTGTTCTGTGCCGATATATGGGCTCAAAGGATTGAAGCTCTAAGTATTGTCTCAGCAGGTTGATCCCTGTGGCTAAGTTTCAAGTTGTAAAAATGACAGCATACAGATAGAAGAACAAAGGCAACGTGTGGTCAGTAAAACACCCAGGATATTGTCATTGTAGATGCAGACTACAATACCCAAACTCGGCAACGATGAAAATACACACGTTTTATGGTGTTAGGATTGATGGTGGCTATTGACATCTACTGTGGTCTAAATCCTTTGATGGATAACTAAACAGTGAAGTTCATCTGCCAATGCAGGATTCAGATGACAAGCCTTAAAGTCAAAGAGAAAAAGATGCATTGTTTAGATGCACTCTAAATTTGGGGGATTTACTTTTCCTTTTTTAAAGATTAGCAAAGTACAGAGAATTTCATGCAAACATCTTAAGATACACTTTTGCTTTCCTAGGAAAAAATAAGGGAAAATTCAAATTTAGCAGCCTATGCAAAATAACCATGCTATCATTGGAAGGAGGTAAAGTTTAAACAGTGGCCAGATTAAAAATAATTAATTTACATAGCCTTCATGATGATGGATTATTAACATAAGTAAAATGGAAAGCATTAACACATGGCCACAAACTTGTTTTGATTTCATTATACACATAGGAGCATCTCCAATTACCTTATTTATATGGTAAAGTGAGTTTGTATTATGACTAGAGTAAAAACTAAGGAGCCTTTGTGGTGCTGCAGGGTAGGTGTTGAGCTGCTAACCACAAGGTTGGTGGTACAGAACCAGCCAGGCATTCCATGGGAGAAAAGTGAGGCTGTCTGCTTCTGTAAAGAGTTAGGGTCACTGTGAGTTGGAATGAATCAATGGGAGTGATTTGGCAGAATAATGTGTTGGACCAGGTTGACTAGAGAAACAAATTCATTGACACTCATATGTGAGGGAGAACTTTATATTCAGAATTATACATATAAAAAAAACAGCCCAGTCCAGATCAAGTCCATAAGTTTGATATTAGCCCATCAGTCCGATATTAGCCCATGAATTAATTCCTCTTCAGACTCACACAGCACAAGCAATGATGCAGAATGCAGGAAGATCACAGGCAGGTGGTTGGAAAGTCCTGTGGGGCCAATGGCAGTGGATGCATCTCGAGGGCTCTAGCTGCCACGAGCGTGGCTCCATGCGGCTGGTCAACAGCAATGTGTAGCACGGAGAGTGTGTTCCCCGCCTCCAGGGTGGAAGAGAGGAAGTTCCCAGAATCCTCATGAGAAGGCCACGTCCACACGGAGTGATCATCAGGCTGTGACCGATTGACGGACTAGACTTCACCCTTTCATTCTTTTATCAAGTTGACATGAAATTGTGTAACTACCACAAGTAAACTACCACAAGATGCAGAATTTAATATTTTAGGATTTGGGAAAGGAGCCCTGGTGGTGCAGTGTTCAAAGTCACCAGTGCTCCAAGGGGAAGAAGACGAGGCTTTCTACTCCCTGAACGCATTACAGTCTTGGAAACCCACCTGGGTGGTTCTACTCTGTCATAGTCCCTATGAGTCAGCATGGACTCGATGCCAGCGAGTTTTGGTTTTTTGTTTTAAGGTTTTGGAAGAAATATCGGAAGCTGTCTTCTACAAATCCTACTCTGTACAGAAATTGCCCCTCTAGTACCATGACAGTTGGTCACTAAAATTCTGCTTGGTTGCTTCCAGTGGCAGGAAGTCACCACCTTAAAAGGGGAAATGGTTTTGTTTCCTGAACAATTGTCTTAGAAGGGTCTTCCTTCTGTTAAGGCAGCCATTGTCCTTCCTGTGCTGGAGCGTTATCGAGGAGTCCTAGTCCACTCTCTGAGAAGGGCAGTGTGTTCTCAAAGAGCCCTGAGGAGCTGGAGGAGGTGGCAGTGTTACCAGCCTGACTGTGGCAGGGCCAAGGCCAGCCATGGGTCTTCAGCTCTCAGCATCACCATCTCACCACCTTCCTGCTTTCTGTCCCGCTCTGCCCTTACCTCTGTCCTGCTCCCTCCCAAACAGTTGCTTGGCTGTGGCATAGTCTTCCCGTCCTTTGAAAACCACCATCAATCAAGACCTCCGTTTCCTCTAAATAAAATTTGGGTTTCTCATAGTGTGTGAATTCCAGCCCCTTCATTGGCTTGCCATCTCTAAATGGTCTCTGTGTTATCACTGTCATAAAACTAAATGGCTATAATAAAGTGTCGTGCACACAGTCTTATCCTTGAAGAGTAATGGGGACATTTTCACCCATCATAGGTATAATGGTGCTAACCTTACATTTTCAGTTTTTCTGCCTTCTTCAGTTGAGCACGTACCAGGTTTAAGAATATTTTTTGACCCAGACTTATCTTGGCTTGTATTTCTTTTACAAGGAACTAAGACTGAAGATCCTGAAATCGGTTTGAAAATTGACCTAATCCAGAGATTAACGGGTTTAAAAAAATGAAGACAACTGTTCTATCCTTTGGGAGAAAGACAAGGCTTTCTCCTCCTGTGAAGAGTTACAGTCCGAGGAACTCACAGGCGCAGTCCTGCCTGTCCTGTAGGGTCGCTGTCAGTCAGAATGGACTTGAGGCGGTGACTGGTTTTGAGTTTTATTATCCATAGTCTAGAATGAAGTGATGTTAAATATTTCAAAAGTCAGTTATACTGGGCAGTGTGCTGTGTTCTTATATTTATATATTAATATGGATCTGATCCTCTGGAAATCTTCATTTCAAACAAATACTTCAGTGAGTCTCAAACTTGCTAGCACATTGTCTTCCTTTATCGTTTAATTACTCTGAAATAAGCCCTGGGCTTTGGAATTTGTATAAGATCCCAAGTGACTTTGCTCTGCAGACATGTGCAGATCGTTGCCACTAATCCAGGGAGATGTAAGCCAACAACGACAAGGCCCCACTGAACCATTGAACCATTCTGACTCAGAGCAACCCCATATAGGGTTTCTGAGTTTCAATTTTTTTTTTACTTTTTATTACGAATTAGGTGGGCGTTTACATTTTAGATAATCCATTTTGTAGTCAACACTGCAAACTACTTCTCAAACTTCCCACTTGATTTCTCCTGTACTTACACTCTCTTGTGCTCTCCTTCACCTAAATTTACACCCACCCACCGCAGCCTGCTTCACCAGAGCCCCTTCCCCACTAACTATCGAGTTTCTTTCTTTTGGTATGAAAGCCTTTGTCTTGGTTTTTCCATTATAATAGCGGTCTCTTAAACAATGTTTATCTTTAGGTGATGGAGTATAATGTTCTCCAAGTCCATCCTTGCCTTGAGGTGCTTCATCATTTCATCCTCAATCTTTAGCGGTGCATAGTATTCCATTGTGTGTATGTACCAATCCACTGAGGGATTTTCCCATCTCGTTATTGTAAATAGTGCTGCGAGGAACATGGGTGCGTATCATCTGGTGTGATGTGAACATGCTGTGTTCCTTATTTCTGTGTGATATATACCAAGAATGTCCTGGTATTTCTCTCGATTGTTTGCAGAAGCTCCATACCGATTTCCACAGTGGTTACACATTTTTACAGTCTCACTCGCAGTGTACAATGGTGCCAGTCTCTACACCTCGCCGGCATCTGTTACATTCTGTTGTTTGGTTCTGTACTTTGTTATCAATGCCGTTGTTAGGAAGTATCTATCTCCTCATTGTTTTGATATGAATCTCATGAATGGCTAGCAATGGCTCACCAGCATTTCTTCATAAGTTTATTGGTTGCCTGGGAGTCTTCTTCGGTGAACTGTCTCTTAATGCCCTCTGCCCATTTCAACTGGTTCATTTGTTAGTCCTTATTGAGATGTTTTAATTCTCTATAGATTTTTGAAATTAATCCTTTGTCCAATGTGTTTGTTGTCAATTTTTTGCCCCCAGTCTGGAGGGGGAGGTGTCTCTTGACTCTCTGATGAAGTCTCTTGATGCACATAACTGTATATTTTAAAGTTCCAGTTATCTATTTTGTCTTCTGCTGTTTTCTTTTTTCAATGTTAGATCGTATGTGTACTCTTTGTATTAGGGCCCCAAAGTTTATCACTGTCTTCTTACTGATAGCGTTATTTCAAGATTTAAATTTAGATCTTTAATCCATCTTGAATTCATTTTTGTATCTGGAGTGGGGGGTGGATTCTGTTTCATTCTTCCATAAATAGATACACGATTTCTCCAGCACCATTTGTTGAAGAGACTGTTTCTTCCCCAATTAATGTATTTCAGGCCTTTGTCTAAGATCAGTTTTCTATAGGTGGATGGATTTATTTCTGGGTTCTCTATTCTGTTACATTGGTCTTCATAGATGTTGTTGTTCCAGACCAGGCTGTTTTGACTGGTGTGGCTATGTAATGACAGACCTTGAAGTCAGGAAGTGAGAGGCTCTTACTTTATTCTTCTTTTTAAGTAGTGCTTTGCTTATCCTGGAACCCTGGTGGCTTAGTGGTCAGGCGATGGGGCCACAGTCTGCAAGGTCGGCAGCTCAAAACCACCAACTGGTCCTCAGAAGAAAGCTACTCCCTTAAGAGGTTACAGTCTGGGGAAACTCCACAGGGGCAGTTCCACCCACTGCTGGAGAGTTGCTATCAGTAGGTATCAACTCAGTGGCAGTGAGTTCTTAAGTTGCTGATCCTGAATCTAGTTCTTCGTTCTCTACAGGTTGATAAATAGTTTTTCCATTTCCTTAAAGAATAATGCTGGGATCTGGATCGGATTACGGTATATTTCTAGATTCCTTTGGGTAGTGCTGACATTTTCACAATGGCCATCCTTCCAATCCATGAGCATGGAGCATTATTTTATTTATATAGGTCTTTTTTGGTTTCTTATAGTAGTGTTTTATAGTGTTCTTTGTACAAGTCTTTCATTTGTCTTCTAAAGTTTATTCCTCAGAATTTCCTCTTTGGGGTGGCTATTGTAAATGGTACTGTTTTCTTGATTTCCTTTTCAGAGCTTTCTTCCTTAGTACACAAGTACTTGAGTTTTGTATCCTGCCACACTTCAACTCTTTACATGATTTCCAACAGTTTCTTGTTGGAAACTGTGAATCTTCATGGGAGCAGACAGCCTCATGTTTCTCCCAAGTGGGTTTGAAGACCAGTGCTTATTGATGGCACCACCAGGCAAGGAACCTGGAAAATAGTTTCTTGTAGTACCCCCTACTCAAGCTGAACAATTTGTGTTCTATATTTTTAAATTTTTTATCGTGCTGTAATTCTAATTTGAACCGAATAGATGGCATGTCCCCAAATCTTTTGGGCTGTTTTGTTTTTAATTTACTTGCAGTCAGTATTCATGATGATTTATTCTAGTTACCCCCCAAGCTCTTGCCTTATTTCAGATGTAAATTCCATTCAGGATCTAAATATAAACTGATCATATGGATTCAAATGTGCAAAGAGTTACTTTAACTGAGTCTCTGAAATTCAGTGGCAGCCTCAAGGATGGCAGGCGCCATGCATGAAAAACTGGCTTTGGACCCATATTTCCTTACCAACCAAAAGGAGCATATAGGCTCACACATTTTCCAGGGGTAAGAACATGTAACCATGAAGCTTAAAAGGCTTGTGAGGGTGCTGGGCGTTGGCTGCTGATAGTACCAGAATGGAAGGGAATAATTTACACCAAAGTAGGGCTTTTCCCATCGAAGCTTAATTATGCTAACAAGAATCTGACAGAATTGTCTGCACCTCATCTGCAAATCCAGCAGCCTCTCTGTAGAGCAACACTGTCTACACAGCAATCAGGTAGGAACAGACATCAGTCACATCTCCTCTGAATGCTCAGGAAGTTCAAGGTGGGTCGTTATTCTGAGCTTACTTTGGAATAATAGTGGCTAGCTTTTGCTTCATCCTTGCTGACACCCAAACCAAGCTGAAGACACCGTGCATGGTAGAAAGCTGCCATGGCCATGCCTCTGATGATGAATTCCGGGAGACAGTCTGTGACCTTGGCGATCATGGGAATGTCGTGAACCTCATCATAATCAGCAATCCTGTCAGATGGTAAACCGAAATAACAAGACATCAGCCATTGTCTGCTTCAGATCCAACGGCTCGCGCCGACAAGCACCTGGATCTTTAAGGGATCAGAGAAAAGGGTCCTTTCGTGTGACCTCAGTGTCGGGCTTTTTGCCCTCCTAATGTGAGGGTCTCTGTCAAGTTATGCTCACTTGCAGTGACAGAGGCTGTGGGTGGAGAGCATAAGAAGCCATTAAAAGGTTAGTGGACATGTTTGCTGTGTCAAGTTATGTTAGATACTTCAGATATGTTGTTTTTATAACACTGCTGCAATCGTGGTTCCCGACAAAAAGAAATAGGTGCTCTAAAAAACTAAGAAAATTGCCGATATACAGAGCTGGACGCACTGGAGTCCTGAAGGCAGGTGGCGTATAGTTGTGTTATATAGTCTGATACCAGTAGCTACAGGTGACTATTTAAATAAAATATGACAGTCTAGTTCCTTATTTTCACTCACCACATTTCTACCACTGCAGAAAGTCTCCCCAAAGAGATTTGATAGATAATGAAAGTTCTTGAAAATACCTTCCTATCACTTACTGACCTTTTGGAAAATGTAACACACTTTGTGAAAAATTTCTTCTTATAGTAGTACTCCACTAGATTCCCTTGAGCATAGACGTTCCCACGTTGCGCCGCTTCCTTTAAGCATTGCAGGGCAGCGTCCATATCCTGGTGGATGCCTTGCCCATAAAAGTACATGAGACCAAGTGCACCTTGGGATTCCAAATTTCCATTGCCACATGCTTCCGAATGCCAGTAAAATGCCTAAGGAAAAACACAGTCTCATCATTATATTTGTTGTTTGCAAAACCATGGAAGTAAGGGGATATTGGGAAGGAAATATCATCTCCAATTGGAAGGTACTCATCTCTAGGAAAGAGTTCTAGCCCCTCCCGTGTATTTTAGGGTAGCACCGAAGCCACTGACGTAAAAATGAGTGCTAGGGCAAGCCTCCTCCTCTCTCCACAGCAGGTGCCCTCAGTCTGGACACCCCACCCACTGGCAAGTGCCTGGCAGAGCATCAGTTGCCCCCTGAAGCAGATCTGATTTCCAGAGTAAGAGTCACAAAGATAGGAAATCGGAACTAAATGACCAGAACGCTTTCAGCCAGGCTTCCAGGGAGGCACAGAGGTCAGAGAAGCGCGGGCGGTGGGGTGCAGGTGGCAGCCGTCAGGATAAAAGAGACAGGCGTGGAGGGTAAAAATCGTCCTCATCAAGCACACTGGCTTCATACTTGAAAGCCCTGAAGGTGAGTTCAGAAGTTCTTTGCAGTGACTGCCTGGGACCCAAGTGTGGTGTGAGTTGTGCCTCTAACAAGTCTGCCACTAACCCCGGGTCCACCAGTGGCATCCCACCCAGCCTGTTCTCCTAAGAAATGTTGCCAAAGCACACATGACGAAAAAAACTAATGTCCATAAAAATCGTAAATGAATTGAATGTTTAAATTTATGTATAGTATAGTTTACTTACTTTGTTTATTACTCCCTCAGGTCACATTATATCATTAATTTATTCACACTTGAATGATTGGAACCTTAATTGCAAGGCTCTCCAGCTACTTCTCTATGATGCCATCACAGTCTTTCGTAGAGGTGCCACCAGAGTCCCAAACAGTGACTCTTGATGGGGACAGAGCGCCGCCTCTCTCCCGCGGAGTGACTAGTGCGTTTGCAATGAGCAGCCCAGTGTCTACCCTCAGCGCTACCAGGGCTCCGTCTACAAAACATCCTCCCATCTAAGCCAGGCATAGTAACAGTTAGAGACGAGTGAGAAGGACAATGATTCCGTGCAGATGTAAATGGTAGGCCCACTTGGCTACAAGGGGGATGGAGAAGAAAGGGCTGGTGGTCTGCTTCCCCCAAACCAGCCCTCAGGAACGCCCTGTGGCGCACAGTCACAGTCAAGGAGGAGCCTACTGGTTGGCAAAATAGTGTGAACTGTAAGATTCTAAAATGTAAAGTCCTTACATGTCAAAAAAAGTAAAAGACACTCGAGGACACACTTCCTTCTCAGCACCATCCTCCCTAAATCGAAACGGTGACCTCTCAAACAGAATGCCAGCATTTAAGAAAGAAATTAAAAAGGGGACATGTTACCTTTTCCAACTCTTTAGGTTCTTTGGTTGAGTAGTACAACCCTAAGGTACTTTGAGCCTTCACACTAGCTTTTGGGTTTCCATTGTCTGCAGCAAAAAGCCAGAGTCTGAAAAAAGAAAGAGTAAGATAAAGTTATTCGTTGTGCCAGCATCCCACCGAAACCGAGTCTTGTTCTCAGGGAGATTACCTTTCAGCTTCCTCTACTGACCGGCGAACACCTCTTCCTTCGTAATAAGCTCTTCCAAGGTTGTAAGCAGCTGCAAATTTTAAATGTCTTGCTTTGGGACATGGAGACTCAAGAATTTTCTTCATATATTTCACTCCTTTTTCCTTCCACAAAGGAAAAGAACAAAGAGCCCCAGTTTTTAGTTTTACCCAAACTGAAATTTCCCAATAATGTAGTGTGTTCACTTTCTGACACGGTGCATACTCATGAATAATCTCTGTCTAGGCGGCATGATTGTCGTGGGATCGGCAGGACTAGGGATGCAAAGTGACAATCTGTCTCCTGAGTAGACATTCACATGCGTTCAGGACGGGAGGGGTTGACTTAGCCTCTCTTTCAGTTTATAACTTCTCATCTAGATGCCTCCTGAGGGTCCCCTTTCTTTTCCCCCCTGTCCTTCCCCCAACCAGGGAACCCTTAGCCTAAATGAGCACTTTCTGAGGATACAGTTGTTAAGGACCCATCAAAATGCAAGAACAGCCAGCTGCAACTTCCACATTTATAGTTCTTAGCATATAGTTGTGGGCCCAACGCCTATGTTTGTCTAATCTGCAAGCTCATTTTCCATTAAGTGTACTCAGTGATAATTTACATCCATCTGCTAATCAGATGACAG